GCGGGTGGCATAGTGGTTAAGGCGCTGGACACGCCCACATGTCTGATCACGGTTCAAGTCCTGGACCTGGTGGCTTGCTTCCTCACTTCCTCTCTCTCTCTAGGTCTCTTTCTGATAAAATTAAAAATAAATAAATGAATAAATAAAACTAAAATAAATCATTCTTTAAAAAAAAAAAAAAGGAAGGGGGAGCACAGCATGAACCTTCATGAGTACAAGGCTCACCACTTGTCTAGCAGGCCACGATTGGGGGGTGTATTTGACACCACAGCCATCAGGGATGAGGCGCTTCTCAGTCACCATGTCTTCAAATTCATCAGCATTGAACTTGGGAGAGCCCCACTTCTTCATCTTCTTTTTTTTTTTTTTTTTAGAGAGGTTTTTGCTATAGGGCGCATGTGCTCACCAGAAAGACAGAGAGAGGCAGAGAGACAGAAAGCAAGAAATCACCCCCCAGGGGGGATGGCCACGCCACAATCCCTGCTCCTCCATTCTCCTCTCGGGATCTTGGGCACGCATGCACACGCGCCTGGCGTGAGTTCTAAGCCACCGGGTACGGGATGCGAACCGCGGTCAATTACGTGGGAGTCCAGCAACATAGCCGTTATGCTAACTGCTGGTTCCCAGCCCCACTTCTTTAAGATGTGGATCTTCTGGTGGCCAGGGAACTTGCACTTGGCCCTGCGGAGGGCCTCAATCATGCTCCTTGGTGCGGATGGACATGATAACCTAGCCAATGTGGACCCTGGCTATCGTGCCCTGGGGCTTTCCAAAGGCACCCCTCGTACCTGTCTGGAGCCTATCAGCTCCAGCACAGGACAACATCTTGTTGGGGCTTGCAGGTGGCAACGTGGTTGTGATGGCTAGCTCCCACATAGCTGACTACGGTTCGAGTCCTGGACCTGGCAGCTTGCTTTCTCACTTTCCTTCTCTCTCTCTGGTCAACTTCCAAAAAATAAAATAATGGCAATGGATAAAATTAAATAAAATAACTCTTTAAAAAAAAATGGGGCCGGCAAGTGGCATGGTGGTTAAAGGCGCTAGACTCCCACATGGCCGACCACGGTTCAAGTCTCGGACCTGGTGGTCTCGCTTCCTCTCTCTCTCTCTGTCTCTCTCTGATCAAACTGGAAAATAATAATGATAATAATAAATAAAGTTAAATAAAATAATAAAAAAAAATTTTTTTAAATCTTGTTAATGTGGATGATGTGGAAAGGGTGGCGCCACAATCAGATATGAAAGCCGTCTTTGCCACAACTTTTGATTGTGTACTTGTTTGCACAAACACGGGCAGCCTCCAGGGCCTCCGAGAGCTGCCCATATTCATCCAACACCATGTGGCCCCAGGGTGGGAATTCATCCACTTTTGCCTTCATCCACCCCGGGTCAAAGATGTGGATCTTGGCATCTGGGACACCTCAGGAGAAGCGCGACTTTGGGTACAGCTTGTTCTTACAACACTGGTAATACCGGGTGCGGCGGCGGCACCGGCACCAAAATCTTGGTTAACACCAAGATCTTTGGTGGTTAGCAAGTGACAGCCGCTCTTACCATGCTGGAGGCAAAGTTGTTTTTTTTAAATCAAGCACGTTGAGAGAGAGAGGACTCGATGCAGCAATCCTCCAGTGGTCTGTGCCATAGAGTTGGCACCACCATGCCCACAGGTAGTCATTTTTTATGGACAGAGGAAGCTTTATATTTAATGACATTGAAAGATACCCATGATATGGGTCAGCGGGTAGTGTGGAGGTTAAGGCAGCTGAATCTCATATGGCTGCCTGCACTGTTTGAGTCCCAGGTCTGGCAGCTTCAAAATCACACCAGGAATGTGTGCATGCCCAAAATGCCAAGAGAAGGATGAAGGAAAAAGGACTGCAGTAAGACCAGCCTCCTGGGGGGTGATTTCTGACTTTCTCTCTCTCTGTGTCTCTCTTTGATTACCACACACACCCTATAGCAAATTTTAAAAATAAATAAATATATATAGAGAGATCTAGGATATATGGTTAAGAAAACAATGGGGATGGGACCAGCAGGTGGCATGGTGGTTAAGGTGCTGGATGCTCCCACATGGCTGACCACGGTTCAAGTCCTGGACCTGGTGGCTTGCTTTCTCACCTTCTCTCTCTCTGCGTGTGTCTCTCTGGTCAAAATAAAAATAAATGAATGAATAAATAAAGTTAAATAAATAATAAAATGTTAAAAAAAAAAAAGAAAACAATGGGGCTAGCAGGTGGCATGGTGGTTAAGGTGCTTGACACTCCCACATGGCCTACTATGGTTCGAGTCCTGAGCCTGGTGGCTTGCTTTTCTCACTTTCCCTCTGTGTGTCTCTCTCTGGTCAAATGAAATGAATGAATAAATAAAATTAAGTAATTTTTTTAAAAAAAGAAAAGTTGGGCTAGCTCGTGGCCTGATGTTAATGGAGCTGGATCCTGCATGGCTGATCCAATTTATGTCCCAGACCCTATGGCTTGAGAAACATGCTGGTTGAGAGTGTGTACGTATGGAAAATCCCAAAAGGAGGGAGAGAGAGAGATGGGATTGTGGCATGACCATTCCCCAGGAGGGGTGCCTTCTCCTCCCTCACCCCACCCCATGACCACGTGTCCTGTGGCAGATTTAAAAAAAAAAAAGAAAAAGAAAACAAGTTGTAGTTGTAGGCCCAGCCACAGCCAGTTGCAAAGCTGGAAGCCAAAAGGAAGCCCAGGTTTGGGTCCAGGCCAACCTAAACATGCTGGGCAGTGTCTGGGCATGTGCCTGTAATCCTAGAAATTGGGAGGCTGGAACTGGAGGGCCACAACCCAGCAAGGCCTTATCAAAAATACCGATCTCTGTTTCGCTCCCTTCCCCTTTCTCTCTTACCTCCTTTCATAAAGGAGGAAAAGTCAAGCTGCAGAAAAGTATGTTGAGTATGCTCATTTGTTTTTGTTTAATCGATTTGTTTACATGTGTACAGGCAACCATTGAGATTCTCTGAGCACTGGAATAGAGAAGGACTCCCCCCTTTCTTTTTGCCTAGGTCATGTAATATGTCGCATTCAAAGAAAACCAAAGGGCGTTGAATGAAGTGAGGCTTGTTTCCTCTCCCCCCACACTGCCTCTGGGGTGAAAGGAAATCTCTGTTTTACTTTATATATGTTTGTAATATTAGCATTTTGTTTATTTATTTATTTTAGAGAGATTTTTTTTCTTATAAGGCACATGCACTGTCTGGAGAGACAGAGACAGAAATCAAGCAACCACCCCAGGGGGTGTGGCCATGTCACAATCCCTTCTCTTCCGTTCTCTTTTTGAGATTTGGGGCATGCATGTACACACTCCCAGAGTGAGTTTAAGCCGCCAGGTCTGGGACTTGAACCACGGTCGATTATGTGGGAGTCGAGCAATGTAACCATTATGTCATCTGCTAGTCCCTTACTTATTTATTTTTAAGATTTTTTTTTTTTAGAATTATTTTATTTAACTTTCTTTATGGATTTATTTATATATTTTAATTTGACTAGTGATAGGGGTAGGGTGTGTGGGGAAGAGTGAGAAAGCAAGCCACTAGATCCGGGACTTGAATCACGGTCCGCCCTGTGGGAGGCCAGTGCCCTTAACCACCACACCACCTGCTGGCCCCTATTTTTAGAGATTTTTGCCATAGGGTGCTTGTGCTCACCAGAGACAAAGAGAGAGAGAGGGAAAGTGAGAAATCACCTTCTAAGAGGGATAGCTATGCTGCAATCCCTTCTCCGTTCTCTTCCGGGGATTTTGGGCATGCACACACGTGTCCAGCCTGATTTTCAAGCTTCTAGGTCCAGGGCTTGAACCATAGCTTGGGCATCTAGCACCTTAACCACTATGTCATCTGCTGGCCCCAGCATTTTGTTTATTTTTTAGCAGAGGGCATTGCTTTTTATAAATAAAAAGTAGAATTAGTGAGAAAACAAAAAAACCAATGTTCACTGAAGAAAATTTACAATTCATAGGGCTGCTAGGTGGCATGATTGAGGCATTGGAGTCCCACATGGCCAACCATGCTTCAAGTTCTGGACCTGGCGACTTGCTTTCTCACTTTCCCTCTCTCTCTCTCTGGTCACATTAAAACACAATAATGGGGACCAGCAGGTGGCATGGTGATTAAGGTGCTGGACACTCCCACACGGCCGAACACGGCTCAAGTCCCGGATCTGGTGGCTTGCTTTACAACTTTCCCTCTTTTCTCTCTCTCTGTCTCTCTCTGGTCAAATTAAAATAAATGAATGAATAAATAAAACTGAATAGATAGTTCTTTAAAAAAATTAAAACATAATAAAAATAAAATAAGATAAATAATTTAAAATTCTTTGCAATTTGTGCAAAAGTTTAAGAAGATAAATATCACCCATGACCTCATCTCATGGGGCTGGGGGGCACTTAATGTCTTTCTCTTAAATCTTTTTTTTAATTTAAAATAATAATTCTGCTATAGGGTGCATTCATTTGCCAGAAAGACAAAGAGAGACAAAAAGTAAGAAATCACCCCCGAGGGAAGATGGCCACACTGCAATCCCTTCTCCTCCATTCTCCTCTCAGGATCTTGGGCACACATGTACATGCACCCGGTGTGAGTTTAAGCCACCAGGTCCAGGACTTGAAACATGGTCGACTACATGGGAGTCCAGCGACATAACCATTACACCAACTGCTGGTCCCCTTCAATCTTTTTAAATGAGCATACATATTTTCTTTCAAATAATTCATAAAATTATCACAAAATATACACCAGGCCACTTGAGGGGTGTAGTAGCACTCGCCCTGTGGCAAAAACGAAGCAGGTATCCTGAGTCCAAAAGACGTACAACGTGGATGAAAAGAAAACAGTGGAGCTGTGATGTGTACCCTAATTCGTAACGTACTTTTCACACACTGAACAGAATAGTAGGAACATTCTCCCATAACAGATACTCTTACACAGCATGACTTGTGGCGGTTGTATAGTAACCTATCTTTAAAAATATTTGTTTAACCCATCTTTTATCATCAAGTATTTAATTTGTTCCCTATTTCAGAAGTGTTTTGCAAATGAAGGAAAGAATAGCTCTTTGGGATAGAGTCCAGGACAACAGAGTAAAAAGTCCCTGCGGTCATCTCTTCCGCTTCCCGACCCCATCCTGCAGGGTGTCTGCCCAAGCCTTCCAGACCCAGTCCCAGAGCCCCGCCAGGGTCCAGAGCCAACTGGCCTCTAACCTTTGCCTTTTCTCCACAGAAGTATGTCCGTCCTGGTCCTGGGCTGATTTTCCAGCAGGAAGCACGATCTGGTCCAGGGGCAGTTCAGGCACACGCCCCTCGGCTCCCGGCCCTAGGCATAGTTTCCCCATTCCCCATTCAAGGTCCTCAGGGCTCAGGGGCGGAGATGGGAACGACATTCTCATACTGGGGCTCCTCCTGCCCTTCCTCTTCAGTCTGCTTCTGAGGATCCTGTTCTGGGGGGCCGCTCCCACAGACCAGCTCCTGGGCCCCCCTCGAACTCTTGAGGCCATTCGCCAGCCCAGTGGTCACTTCTTCCGGCCTGACTCCTGTCGACTCCATGGCTCCAGCGAGCTTGGCATCTGGGGCTGAGCCAGGGATCTGGCTGGCAGAGCCAGGGGCCAGCCCAGGGCTGCCCTTGTTCCGACTCAGGGCCCGGCGTGGAGGCTTGGGAATGGCACTCTTGACCTTGGGCTCTGCCTGGCCTTTCTGGAAGCTACCAAAACGGCGGAGGACAGACCGGACAGGGCCATCCGGTCCCCGGGGCGTCCCTGCCAACATGTAGATTGTGGTCACAGAGCCCGAGCTCTCCTGAACGCTGCCCTCGATGGCTTCCACACGTTCAGCCACTGTCCGGCCACCAAGCAGGGGCCGGCGGCGGCCAGTGGCTGAATCCCTGGGGCTGGTGGCAGTTGGAGGGGCCTCATCCTTTTCTGCTTGTTCTGGGCCTGTGGACTCTTCAGTCTCTTGGCCCTCAGGACCTGGCTGGGCGCCCCGGGAGAGCCTCTTCGGCTTTCGGAGTGGACTGGAGAGCTCCCCTGAGCTTCGGTGACTCTGCGGTGCAAACCTGGTGCCTTCCGCAAAGGAGACTGAAGGCCGCTTGGCCCGGGCTAGGCTGGAGGTGCGGGGGATGGCAAATGGTGTGGAGGCATCTTCAGGAGGTGGGAAAGGGCCTCCGGCCAGGCTGGCTTCTGGTAACTCTGCTTGGGCCAGAGGGACCATCCCTGGCAGAAGAGACAGCAGAGGTTGGCTGAATTTGGGCTAGCCACCTAGTTCATCTTTTTTTTTTTTTTTTTAAGAAATCATTTACTGGGAGACCAGCAGTTGGCGTAATGGCTACGTAGCTGGACTCCCATATGGTCGACCATGGTTCAAGTCCTGGACCCAGTGGCTTAAACTCACGCCTGGCACATGTGTACATGTGCGTGCGTGTCCAAGATCCCATGAGGAGAATGGAGGAGGAGGGATTGTGGTGTGGCCATTCCCACCTGAGGGGTGATTTCTCGCTTTCTGTCTCTCTGTTTCTGTCTGTCTTTTGGCGACTGCACGCGTCCTATAGCAAAAACTTCTCAAAAAAAAAAAGAAAAGAAATTATTTACTGGGGACCAGTAGGTGGCATAGTGGTTAATAAGCCGGACACTCCCACATGGCCGACAACAGTTTGAGTTCCGGACCTGGTGACTTGCTTTCTCACTTTCCCTCTCTTTCTCTTTCTCATTCTGGTCAAATTAAAACAAAGGAATGAGGGGGCCAGCAGGTGGCGTGGTGGTTAGGGTGGGTGGACTCCCACATGGCTGACCGTGGTTTGAGTCCTGAACCTGGCAACTTGCTATCTCACTTTCTTTCTCTCTCTCTTTGGTCAATTTCAAAAAGATAAAATAAAATAATGACAATGACTAACAATAAATAAAGTAATTATTTTAAAAAATGAATGAATAAATAAAACATTAAATAAATAATTATTTTTAAAAAAGAAAGAAATAAATTATTTACTGGGGGCCAGTAGATGGCATAATGGTTATGTCGCTGGACTCCCACATAGTTGACTGTGGTTACCCAACGACTTAAAACTCACACTGGGCGCATGAGTTTTAAAATCCCGAGAGGAGAATGGAGGAGAAGGGATTGTGGCGTGGCCATCCCCCGGTGGATAAATTCTTGCTTTCTTCTCTCTCTCTCCAGTGAGCACATGTCACACTTTGCATGGAGTTTTTATTTTTATAATTATTATTTTTAAAGAATTATTTAACTTTATTTATTTATTTTAATATGGCCAGAGAGGGACAGAGCGAGAGAGAGAGATTATTATTTTCCAGTTTGATCAGAGAGACACAGAGAAAGAGAGAGGGAAAGTGAGAAGGCAAGCCACCAGGTCCGGGACTCCAACCATGGTCAGCCATGTGGGAGTCTAATGCCCTTAACCATCACACCACCTGACAGGCCCAATTATTTTGATTTCTTTAATTTGGTATAGGGCATGTGTGCTCACCAGAGAGGGAGAGAGAGAAAGTGAGAAAGCAAGCCACCAAGTCTGGGACTCGAACTATGGTCGGCCATGTAGGAGTCCAGCACTTTAACCGCCACACCACCTACTGGCCCCACACCTCAGCTCATCTTACCTGCCGCTCTGCATCATCTGGGAGGCCTTGAAAAGGGGCAAGGAAGACAGTGAGGACACACAGAGGCAGGGGAGGCCAGCTCCAGTAGACACCACTGCTTCAGTACTCTTTCTCCCCACCCCTCCCTGCTCTGAACGACTACCATGCTCTAACCAGCTGAAACCATTCCGATGCCACAGAGCCAGGCCTCTCTCACCCCTCGGCTTTGTGTGTGCTGTTCCCCTCTCCTGAAACGCCACTCCCAACTCCCCCTAACTCCTGATTCTGCCCGAGTCATCTCGGATACAAACACAGCCACCTTCCCTCACCTGTCCCTTCCGGCTAGATTATGAGCCTCCGCCTGCCCCCATCACAGCACAAACCGCTCCCTCCTCTCACTGATGACTCGTCTGACCTCTGCCCCTCAGATGAGACAGGGTCTATCTTCACGCCCCCAGCCAGGATCAGGGACCAGCACTGAATGGGTGTTTGGTAAACGTTTGCCAAAGGAACAGAGAAGTAGTGGTGGTCAGGGCTGCTCAGGGCTGAGTGGGCTGCTGGGGGGCTACCTTCTTGGGGTGGCACGCAGTAGGCAGGACCCTCGTCCTCTTCTCCAGACTCGGAATCAGAAGAGAAGGAGTCGTCCGAGGCCCAGCCGGCAGAGGGTGGCTCGATGAAGCTGTGGTTGAAGGGGATCTCCGGGTCGTGGTGCGAGACTGTAGGGGCTCCAGGTCAGGCGCAGAGCCTTATGGGAAGCCTCGACCCCCACCCTGACCCCCAGCGTCCATTTACCTGTCACCCATGGTAGCTTGTGGCTACTGAGGGAACCACAGGGCAGTGAGGAACATCGGGGCCCCCCAGACCTGCATCTTCATCCTAGACACAGCCGCTCCGTCTCTCGCTGGCCTGAGGGGGTAGGGTAGACCCAAGGAGACCCAGGTCACCTCAGCAGGTTATGACAAGATGATAGCTCCCTGTTGACTACAGAATAAAATCCAAACTATCGAGGCCAGCAGGTGGTGTGGTGGTGAAGGTGCTGGACTCCCACATGGTTGACTATGGTTCAAGTCCTGGACCCACTGGCTTCAAACTCATGCTGTACATGTGGGTAAACATGTCCAAGAGCCCAAGAGGAGAGTAGAGGAGAAGGGACTGGAATAGCCATCCCCCCGGGGGGGGGGGTGATTTCTCT